CTTGCAAGGCAGGCCACCGAACCGCTGAGCTAAATTCCCTGCCCTCCCATATTCTTTTTAAGCAATACACCGCCTCCACTTCCAGCATATCCGGAATTCCATAACTATGTTTGGTGGCACATGACTGTAATCCCAGCATGTAGGAGGACTGTTAACTCCAGACAGCCTGGGCTAGATCGAGATCCTGTTTCAGACAAGAAACTGGCTGTCTCTGCTTCTGTGTAGTGGGGAAGCACTGCAGGGGCCAACATGCAGAAAAACCAAAGCTCTGGTAGGAATCGATAGAGAAAAAGAAAAACAATGACCTGGACAAGCAGTCACCAGGGGTCCAGGCACAGGCATCAGCGCTCTGCGATGCAGGAAGTACATCCTTCATCAGGGACAGCCAGGTCCCACCCTGCCAGCAAGGGGCGGTGACATCTCAACAGCGCAGGATGAAAGGCTCTTCCCTGACACAGGATCTGCTACCCACCTTCCTACAGGGAAGCCGAGCCACTGTGGTGCCAGGCCTGGGGCAGCCTCTTGGGACAGCAGTGTGTGAGCCACACTCCTGGGCTGGCACAGCACCGGTCACTGCTGTCCCCTCTGCACACCACTGCCGCACTTGTGGCAAGGAGCCCCTTCTGGGCTTGGCTGCCCAGGTAGAGGATCCTGTCCCCAGAGGGGGACAAAACATTCCTCGAACTCTCATCCTTGCTCAGCCAGCAGGACACATGCAGAGGGCTCTTTATTTCAGGGATAATGAAGGGCATGCTTGTGTCTGTCACATGCTCCTGGGTTATTTCAGACACCCTGATACAACTGTCACAGGTGACAGAGACAGGAGCTGATGCTATGTAATGCCTGCCTGCGTTACATAGAGAAATCCAGGGCAAGTATATCCACAATTATTCTCTGGGGAGAAATATCCAAGCAGTCAGAAGCTGCATGTGCAGAATAAGCTTAGATAGCTTAGATAGCTTAGATAGAAACTGGGTAGCAACTGGCAAACAAAACGGTCAAACTTCATCATAGCAAACAGGCATTTTAGCAATATAAAGCTTTAAACTGTACTTAGTAGACACATTCATTATATTTATTGTAATCACTAGCTCATCACAGAGGCTATTTGGACAGAATGATCTGAAAGCAAAACTGCATTAAGGAAGCGAACATTCCCAGCCATGATTTGCACGGACACGGTGACATCCGACATTGACTGCAGACCTCAGGCCACACACCTGGGGAACTGCTTTACCCACACTAAATGTGACACTGACAATCAAGGACGTGCCGCACCCACGCTAAAGCACACAGTGGGGTGGGTCATGGGCAGGATGGGAGCTCCAGTGTGGCACCAGGAAACAGCCACACACCACAGGCCAGTGGCCACCTTGGGACCACAAGAACCCCCTGGAGCGGCCAGGCCAGGCTGGCATCCTGTGCTCCAGTGGTGTCTCCCTACGTTGCAGGAAGTACTGGAGACAGGATGTCTGCTTTCATGGGACAGCAGCCACCACTAAAGGACAGGCTAGCACTTGACTCAAAAACAAAATGAAAATTAAATGTTAGAACCTGGTGAAGGATATGTCTGGAGTGATTATGGTGTAATTTGATTTTCCAGGGACTATAATTTTAAAGTTCTTCAAGATTTTAAGAGCATTCTAAAATTATAATACTGCTTGGGGCGGTGGCACACCTGCAATCCCAGCGCTCTGGAGGCTGAGGCAGGAGAACTGCAACTAGTTCAAGGCCATGCTGGACTACAGCAAGACCTTATCTCAAAAAAAAGCCGGATGTGGTGGTGCATGCTTGTAATCCCAGCACTTGGAAGGCTGAGGCAGGAGGATCGCTGTGAGTTCAAGACCAATCTGGGCTACACAGTGAGTTCCAGTTCAATCTCAACTACATAGTGAGACCCTGTCTCAACCCCCCCCCAATAATATCGAAAAGCAATCCTAAAACAACTGGTCAAAATGAGGACTCCAAGGACTTGCACTGAGGACCTGGAGTAGGAAGGGCTCACTGTCCAAAGACTCCCATATCCTCTGATTCGAGTCAGTGGTTCTAGAACATTCCTAGTAGGAAAGAGACAAGGGGTTTTAAGTGTAGGGTTAAACTTTTATCATCTTTTAGGTAAACGTTGTTCCTTTATCAGTCATAAATTTCAGCTGTTTAGGGCTGGGGATTTAGCTCAGTGGTTCCGCCATCTGCCTCAAAAGCGCAAGGACCCGAGTTAGATCCCTAGTACAAAAAAAAAAAAAAAAAAAATTCAGCTGTTTAAAGTGACAGTCTCCCCACTACCCAAATTAATGTCTGAGGAAATCACAGCTGTACCCAGTAGTTACTACACCAAGATACCACAGAATTGTGGGGAATTCTTTTGCTCAAATTAATGAGCAACTGAAAAACTGGGTCCTCAGAAAGGGTTTATGTCAATGTGTGTCCTTTAGCAGAAGAAAAAAACTTCCTGCCTGATAGATTCTAATGGTTCTTTTAGGAAACACAGAAATCCCCAAACCAATAACAGGAGCTAAGGACCCCAGCAGGTGCCAGGGCAGAAGCAGGTGGCATTTAAATTTTGTTGCCACAGCTAACCTTCCCAGACAAGCCAGAGCCCTGTTCCAAAGGGCTTCAGACAGTGGCCGTACTCCTGGGTTCCCAAACAGCACATGAAGTGTTCAGCATGCTTGTCTATTTTACAGCCCTGACAGAAGAAATCCATTACAAGCTAGAGTCAGAGGTCTGTAATCGGCATCAGTGTAACATGATGATGGTAAGCCAACTTAGCTTGCATTCTCCAACTACAGATATAGGTGTCTTTTTTTAAAAAAAGTCCACTGACTTCATTCAAATGTTCCCATCCTTACTAATCACTAAGGAAAATCTTAAATTCCACAAAAACAATTTGAAGGTATTGAGTAGGTGATGACTTATCCCTTCTTTAGTGCAGTCTTAGGGTTTTTTTGGCTACTAGTTTTCTTAACTTTCTTGTATTGTATACAATATTCCCCCCTCCAAATTGCAGAGTATGGGGAAAAAGAGACACTTTTTTTTTTCAAACAAAAATGTTTATGAAAGAACAGACAATACAAACATATAAACAACCCCACCTCATTTATATAACATATAAATGACCCCACCTTCTCATCTATACAACATACAAACGACCCCTCCTCATTTTTTTTTTTTTGTTGTTTGGTACCAGGGATCGAACTCGGGTGTTTGTGCTTGCAAGGCAGGTGGCAGAACCACTGAGCTAAATCCCCAGCTCCTCATTTAAATGTATAAATGACCCACTTAAAAGGGACCATTCAGGTCTTGTAAGTCAAAAAACTCTTCTGCTTATTTAGCATAAAAACCTACTGCTTAGACTTTACCAAAAAATTTCCTCCATCTCATGATTTCCCTATTATGTAAGGTTTTATCTATTTCTAGATCCTTAAGTTTCAGCATCTTAATGCTTGCACAACCCATTTAAAAATTATGAATGCTGCTTCTATTTCATGTTCTGATTAAAAACGCACAAGCAAAACACAGAAAACAAAGCAAACAAACCACACATAATATGGATGATCCAAATGGAAAGGTTAATGAGCTGTAATAATATTTGTTTTGCAACATCAAAAGCAGCAAAGATCCTGAATATAATTTGCTTAAGTCATAAATACTGAGATTGAGATATGCACGTATAAATCACATTTGGGCTCCATGAGCTGAAAGCTCTCCATAAATACATAAAAGTACATCAAGTGTAAAATGAGCGAGATGGCCTGGAAAGTGCCAGCGGCTCAGTACTCCCACTCATCAGATTTTAGGTCGAGATAGCTGAGGATGTTCTGGGCCAGCTTCACGGCTTGCTTCCTGGCAGCCTTACACTTCTCCTCCCCCTGTGGGTCCACAGCATCCAGGGCCAGCAACTGCTTGGTCAGCAGCTCCTCCAGCCGGATGTAGTTCTTATCGGTCCGATTCCCATCGAATGCGAGGACTTCTCCCTGGATCTCTGCCAGGCTTCCAAGAACATCCCACACGGCCTTATGTGACGGGTGCTCCTCACAGGTGACCTGCCTCCTCCTCTCCAGGGCCTCCTTCAGGTCAATGTGAGTGATCAGCGTTTGCACTTCAATCACAGCTCGTCTCCTGGCTTCCCGGATGCAGGGGTTTCTTTCAAGACTTACCTCATCCAGCTGTCCAATCAAACCCTGCAGTTCTGTCTTGGAGCTCAGGTACAATTCAGGAGGGTTCTGCGCTTGAAGAAATTCGCTTTTTATTTCTCTCATCCTCTTGAGGACCTTTTCTATTTTCAAAATGGAATGGTTCTGTCTTAGGTCAAATGCGTGCGTAGTATCGGCTTCCTCTTCTAAATCCAAATACTTCAGTAATTTGTTGATGTCTTCCACCACCTCCCTCCGATAGTTTCTGATTTCTGTGTGCCCGCACACATCTAGAGCATCCAGATCAGCAATCAGCCCCGAGAGCACACATGATATGTGCCTGCAAGTCTCACTACTGTCCACGCCCATCAGAAGGGCCACGACCACACCTCTGGTCCTGTTCACTTCGCACATCACAGCGTTGATCTTGGCAACAGAAGGATGTGCATCTTCAGACAATGGCAGGGAAGGCTGCTTTTTTAGGCAGTCTTCGACAATCTCTTGCACTGCACAGATTTTGGCTAGAGTGTGATACCTTGCTTTCCGTAAGGAGATCTTGCCTCCAGTTTTAACATGGGTCAGCCTCAGAATGATATCCTGGATACCTTCCTCAATTTCATCAGTTATGCAGCTGCCTCCGCTGTAAAAGGGCACGATCTTCTCTTTCAGGAGGGCCTGGGCTTCCTTGAAGATGTTCTGTATTTCAATCCGGTGTGGGTGGTTTGCATTCTGCTCTAACTCCTTGAGAAGGTGTTCTGTCTCCTGTGCCGCCCTCTTCCTAGCTTGCTGAATGTCTCCTTTTCCTTCTGTATCTACAGAGTCTATTTCAAAAAGTTGCTTTGTTAGAATCCTCTCCAGTTTTTTGTAATTCTTGTCACTTGACAGACCACTGAAGCTGATTACTTGCTGTTCTATACTTTTAACTTCCTTTTGGATTTCCTGAAGTCTGGTAATGGAAGGATGTTGGTTTCCCATATCCATACTTTTGTTGTGTTCAGTTGCACAAGTACTAAAAGACAAGAATGACAGCTTATTAAGGTACAAAGCCCACATAATAGCAATCTATTAGTTCATTCTAAAAAAAAATTTTTTTTTTTGGTATTGAGGATCGAACTTGGGCCCTTGCACTTGTGAGGCAAGTAGCAGAACCACTGAGCCAAATCCCCAGCCCTAAAATTCTCATTTTTATAATATGTACTTTATTTAGCTGTTTTACTTTTGGGTTTTTTTGTTTTGTTTTGATTTTTTTTCTATTGTTTTTTGGTACCGGGGATAGAACTTGTGCTTGCGAGGCAGACACCGGAGCCACTGAGCTAAATCCCCAGCCCATTTTGTTTTTTGAACCAGGTCTCGCTATGTAGCCCAGACTGGTCTTGAATTCACGGCGATCATCCTGCCTCAGTCTCCTCTGAGTGCTGGGATGCCAGGCGTGTTCTCTCATGCCCGGATATTTTTTGAAACAGGATCTCACTATGTAGTTCAGGCTGGCCTTGAACTATGTAACATAGCTTCCTAAAGTGCTAGTATTACAGACATGCTCCATTAGGCAAAACAAGTATGTTAGACGGATTTGTTGCCAGGTGTGGTGGCACACGCCTGTAATCTCAGCACGAGGGAGGCTGATGTAGGACTGCTGTTTGAGGCCAGCCTATCGAGACCCTGTCTCAAAAAAGCACCCAAAACCGCCCCCCAAAAAACAAAAAAATGGGTTACGTGGTCCAAAAGACAGTCATACTCAAGTACAGAAAGAAAGTGACTTATCGACTGACCCCGTGAATTCCGAAATTCAACCATGAGAGGAGGCCTATGCCTTCATCAGAAACTGAATTATCAGCTTAAAACAGCAAATTCCTTAGATCTTAATACCCTATGATATCTTTTGGAACCTGCAGGGCATCTTTGTGGAATGGTGAACAGAAACGGCTCTGCCCGCTTTCCGGAAGAGTAAGCAGAAGCCACCGAGCCCCG